CGCAATTAACGAGGCTGAGGGTTTGGCAATCGCTGCTTCTATTTACCTTGTTGCAAACGCTGCATCACTGTAAATGTTGCAGTTGCTTTAGTTTGGAAATGTTCACTCTCATTTTAGGACAATCCTTTTCAGTGGAGTAGAACAGAAGAGTTAGATGTGACTTGCTAGCATATCACCAGAGTTCAAGTACAAAGAGCACTTAATGCGATCCTGGACAATTTGCATTTCTTTTCCCCTGAATGGTGCACTTACCAGTAGAACTAAATCTTTTTCCTGTATAACGTGTCCTGAATGTTTGAATATGATAGTAATACTGCATTATAAATGTCATTTGGATTAAATAATGGCTTCTTTGCTTGAACAGGATAACTATCCACCCGAAACACAGGGAGGAAACTTTAGTTAATAATAAAACCCCCACAAATTTCAATAGAGCTATATTTCACCTTAATTGCACTCATAATTGCACTTTCACAGTTTGATTACAGAATTTACTGTTTCTTGCTTGGAGGGGGTACACATTGTTGTACACCTTCAAAAAGAAATGGGAACAGAGGATTGTTGACATGCAGTACGTGAGCCTGGATTTCCCCCATTCAGTGAAATGATGGAACTCACTTGTTCCAGGATTCAACACAAGTGCTAAGATTTGCCACATGGGATCACACTAAAAAAAGATAACTGTAAGCTTGTCCTTGAGCAGTGGTTCTCAGTTCCTGTAGATCTGGCTGCTCCAGTACTGGCGAGGAGTAACTGAGGAAAGCAGGCTGACTGTTAGCAAATTTAAATATACCGCATGAGACCTGACCTCCACTGATAAAGTATACAGGGGCTTCCCAGGCTGAAAAATGTTAAAAACAACTGTCCTTGATGAGCAGATAGGTTCAGTAGTCAAGGTCCTGTCTGGATGACCTCAGGACTTTACAAATAGCATGTGTTTCTGAAAACCTGTTATTTAAAAAGTCTCTTGCTGAAGCCAAATCAATGCTCTTCCATTTGTGTACAACTCTGATATCCAGTTCTGGGGTGTGTATTTCCTCTGGATATCCCAGAGGATATCTGTGGCTCCACTGTTTGTGAACTGAGGTTGGTAACGTGACTGTGGATCTTACATCACAGTCTGTGTATGACTGTGCATAGCACCAGGTGACTGCTGCTGTGGGTCCCCACATCTGGCACCTCTTCATGTGACAGGATGGGCACAGGCGCTCAGATATGGCACCTGCACTGAGGTGCTCTCCCTCCTCAGCATATTGGTTCAGTGTTCTTTACTTTTCATCTCCCTAGCTGAGAAAAGGGGGGAAAAAACCCTTTTTCAAAGCTGCCTGAACATTAAAGTTGCGAGTCTGTATTGAACTGTTTCTATGAGCAGTAGCAGTAAGTGACCGTGGCTTTCCAGTGTAACTAAAGCAAGTTTGTCATGAAGTGACATTTCTTCCCTTCCAAACCAGCCCCACAGCAGGGCTCTTCTATGTCTAGATGGGAAATGACAGTATTATATTCATATTCCCTCAGTTCAGACCTGATCTAAGCCCACTGTAAAAAATTAAATACTACCAAGAACTTTCAGAGGTTGGGACCTTTGTGATTTTTATCTTAGCAGTGCTATTTGTGCTTTTATCTATAAAATTCTACTTCTGTTTGTATGCTTGTTTAGTGTGGGATGACTGGAGACAGTCTGTTGTTTTACTGCAGACTTTCCTGCACTTACTAATTTAAGACTGCTGCTCAGACTGAAATTTCCAGGTTGGCTCATGATGAATCCGTAGTCTATATACAGCACTTCGGAGATATTTCCGTATCCTGAAATAACAGGAGGTTTGTGACAGATCATTTAATGACTTTGCGGTGTTCCGCAACTCATGGGATGGAGGACAGATGTCACCAAACTGTTGTACACCAGAACAGCCACTGCACAGCTATTCTTTTTGAAAGTCAATACAATTGAACTGACACACAAGTTTCCATGCCAAGTAAAAATAATGGACATATGTATTTTTTGTGATTTTGTATAGAGAGCTTACACTAGTACCTTCCCCAGAGTTCTTGGTAGTGCTCTTAAAAAAAACAAAAAGAAACAAAAACAAAACCCAAAAAAACCCAAAACAAACAAAACAAAACCCACCAAAAAACTCTGACCTCCAGATGACCCAACTTTGAAACTTGGTGAATTAAAGTCTAGTAGTGCAATTTGCTTGCTCCCAAGATAATTTCAATGTAAAACAACAGGCAAAGACACAACCAAGTATTATTCCAAGTTTGCAAACTGAATCAATCAAGTTCCAGTCTGTCAAAATTAGCAGGGACCAGCCTTACCCTTGACCTGATAATCTGCATTATACAGGTTGAGGAGGCAGCAGGAAACCAGGGAAGGGCTCGTAAGAGCTGCAAAAGGCTGCAGAGGAGATTTCAGGTGAGCTCGGCTGCTGGGGAGACATCAAGCTAGACTCTGACTTTTCAGCAAAGGCTCTACATCTGTTTCAGGGATATTTAAAGTAATATTTTCAAAGGACACCATTACAAAGAGCCCTCTTGGAAGAGCTGGCTTCTCATTTTACTGCTCAAACATGCAGGCTAAGCTGTTCTGAAGTCCTAGTTCTGTTTGTGGCTGCTGAACTGTTTTAAAAGCCAAACCCTTTTTTCATATAAACACCAAACTGCCTGGTGTCCAGTCAGGTTTGCAAGATAAGATAAGAGTGCTTCAGTGAGGAATAAGTGGAAGAGATTTTATGGAAACTGAGTTATTGTAAATGGATAGTATCAAGAAGAGGGGGAGTTTGTGTGGTGCTGTCGAGAGCAGAGGTGGAGAGGGAGTGAATACGTATTTTTTAGAGCTGTGGCAGAAGACAATGAGTGGGAGGTGAGAGTTCCCCCACCCCGCTTACTGCAGTGGCCAGGAACCCCATGGCACAGGTCTGAGCAAGGGGATCTGGAAGCTGGTGGATGGTAGCAGCACAGGCTCAGTGTTTCAGAGGCAAGCTCAGAGAGTGATGAGAGGAATGGAGGGAATGTGATAAGGCTGGGGGAGGATTCAGTAAGGGAATGAGCAGGCAAAAGGAGGGGGTGTGAGAAGTCAGGAGTGCCCCTTTCCACTGTCTCCCTGTTTCCCCATGCTGAAGGCAGGTTTGGGACCTTCAGCTGAAACAACAGGGAACTGCTGTACTGAGGGATGTCCCTGTTACTCTTATGGATGAAGAAGATGCACTGACTAGTGTCCTTTCACCCATCCCTGATGGCAGGAATTGGGGACAGTCACTCATTCTGGCCACCAGGAACCTGAGAAATAGCAAGACGACAAAAGACAGTGGAAATCCCTAAGCTGCTGTGGATATTCCTGTGAAGACAGAACAGATCTGCAGGATCATACTGTAGAGGGGTTTTTTTTTTATGGAGAACTCTTGCTTTTTGAGCTGGGAAGCTGCTGAGCTGTGCTTGGTAGCCAGGGTGTTCCTGAGTGCTGAGGGCAGAGCAGCCACAGCAGTGCACCCTCATTCCACATCAGATTTGGTGTAACATTCCTGGCTCCAGCACTAACCCAAGTGTCTGCGCATTCTTATCAGCAAGACTTGCAGGTAGCATTACATGTTTGTCCACTTGGAATAGAAATATTCCTTAACTCTGAACACCTCTGGCCTTTCTCTTCATATACTAGTCTCTGTGGTTGGACAATAGATTGATATATTTATATTTAACATTTCTGGCTATATAAATTCCTGCCTGCAATAACTCACAACCATCAGAATTCAGAAGCAGTGAGAGGAAAATGCATGAGGGCACATATACACATGAGACTGTAACTCACTTGCTATCCTAACACATGAGAGCTATTGACCTGACAATTTTGATATATGAACATAACCTGAGCCCTATACCTGAACAACTGAACATTATCAGAGATTTAATACATATTTGGATTGTGTAGCTCATTAATACTTTGAGAAAACTCTAGGAGAAAGAGGTAATCTTTAAAGCCATAGGTGGAGAAACAGGGATATAAGACAAAGGTAGACAAGGTAGACTGTTCTAATTAGTAGCTGACTGTGTTTTTCATAGGATATTCTTTGTCATAGATATAAACTTTTATGGTTAATTGATCAGTCTTAACTGCTGATTTCTTGCAAGCCATCATACTTGTAGCTGAAAGCTCTAGAAGGATGGTGTTGGCCTCTCAGAGTAGATTAGACTTCTCTGCTGGCACAGAAAATATTATGTGGAAAGAATTGTGGTTAGCAAAATATTTTGCAATGTCAGTAGTACCCAGAGGGAGGAGGAGGTGGAGCTCTCCATGACTAATATGAGGTTTGGTACCAGCAGGTTTAAGTATCTCAGATAAAATTTGTGATTTCATCCTGGTATGTTGGTGAAGACCTGGGCACCCTTCTTTCTTCTCACAAAAAGAAAGAAGTAGTCTTCCTTCCTCTGTTATCAAGATGCTGACCTCCTGCAAGGGAGAGCAGTGCATCCCACAAGCCACCCAGCAGACCAGCCTCCTGACTCTTACAGTGGTGCTTCCCAGACATCTCTTCCCGTGTTGAGTTAGGCACATCTTGGGCAACCTCTACCTTTTCAAAACCACCCTTTTCCTCAGAACACTTTCCTCCCACCACTTACAAACTAGCCATGCTCTCTGCTGCAAACCACACTAACAGGGGTTTAAGTCAATGTCAGGTGGGTCCTGAAATGTCACATCTATCTGAGAAGCAGGCAGCTGAATTCTCTTTGTGCTGCAGCAAAGGGTCATGCAGATGGGTCTTAGTGGCACATTTTGATTAAGTCAGACAATGTGCTGTCAGTTTTGAGTTGGAGGAGAAAATGGCAAGGAGCATAAATTTATTAGTATTATTAATCTGCCACACTTGGCAGATGCTAACTCCTCCACAAAGTATCTGTTGCTAGAGGGTATGAAGACATACCTGTTGAGTTGGATGGGTGAGGTGCAGAGATGGTGCCAAGAAGCAGGACTTACACCAAGACAGTGCAGAAACCAACATAATGTTCTTGGGTGAAAAATCAAGTCTTTTTATTTAAAAGCAAGTAGCAATGTCCATAACTTACAAGCCCCTCTTCACCTGGGCACTAAAGTCAGCTGGTATTGAAGAGAAAATGGTTGACCTGTTCTAGGCAGGAAAATGCAACTGTGATGCTGAATGTCTGACAGCTTTGGGAAAGAAGTATCCCAGCATATGGAAGTGACAGTATTTTTTTACCGCTGTTTCACCAGTAGATCTTAATGTGTTTTGAAGCAGTTTTGAAGAAGTCTCCAAGGTTATTTTCATTTTCTGTGGGGAATAACAAAATTCAGGTACCTGAGGCACAGGGAAGGGTGGGTAGTCAGGCATTGTAGTAAACCTGCATAAACTTTACCTTCTTTAGGAACATGATAATTAAAGCAAACATACAGAGAGCCATGCTTGGCATGGGATCTCAATAAACTACAACCAAAGCACCTGCAATTTATTGCCTTGATTATGAGACAGTCATTTGAGTGTAAGACTGAGTCTTGTACAAGAATGGGTATTTTTTTTCCTGTTTACCTCTTTCTACCATGTGAAAACTAGGGTTTCCAATTAAAAAAAAAGCAAAGTACAAGCACAGCTGGAAATGGCAATAATTCCCTGGCCTCTCAGGTTAGTCTTCATCTTTTTGGAACCTCTGTCCTAGTCAATCATGTAGGTGTAATTAGTGTTCATATTCACATCCTCATGAGTTTCAGGGGAAATGAAATGTCACTTCAGCTTTTTTTCCCCACAGATCTTTGGTTTTCTCACAACTGCCCTAACAAACACTGAAATTAGATCATTAAACCTAAATTGATGTGTTCAGTATTTCTGCAATACAAGTAAAGACAATTTCAACACAGCATTAAAAATATGTCACCTTCACTGTAGCATTGTACAGGAACTGACATGACTTCTTCTTTTGTTTGCCCATGGAAGGCAACTGTCATTTTCTTTGTTAAAGTATTTTTTTCATTGGATGGAAATAATTACGAGTGGAACAAAACAAAATGTTTTGATTAAATACAGGGCTGGTCTTCTTTTTTCCAGTAAATGTTTCATGTTTTCAATTCTTTCCCCCCTCTCCCAGGGATAATATAATGGATAGTTAGAGATCACCTTCCATCTCAGAAGATCCTAGATTCCACAGGGATCCCTTAATTTGCCACTGGAATTTTGGTACCCATGAAGGAAACACCAGTAAGTAATTTATTCTCTTGGGGTACCAGAGTGAAGGTGAGTTATCTGCTGCAGAGCAGGGGAGTTTTCAGGACACAAGACTCCAGTTCATCATTCATGCCAAAACCAAGGGTTAACACTGAAGTGTCAGATCTGGCTAGCCCATGGCAGAGGAATGAAAACCAGCAGCTGTCTGAATTCCAGGAATGGTGCTGGGAATAGCCTCGATGAAACAAAGTCCCACCAACTTTGATCTTGGATCTCCTGCACAGGATTAAAGGAATAACTGAGTTTGGGCCTGAGGCACAGACATTTGGGAAAGCAGCAGGGGGAATTTGCTAAGTTTTCATGGGAGTTTACTAAGCATGTGAGGGTAAAGCAAAGATAATTCTCTTTTGTCATCGCAATCCATTTCTTTAAACTGTGAGTGCACTTCAAAACCCCAGTGAGATCACAGCAAGAGCATCAGCAGACTCGCAGTGCTCTCTGCATGGTGCTGTGTTGTTTGGGTTGAAGAGTGATGGTTTGTCCTGGATCAACTTTGTAAATAAGAGTAGAGCAAGGCAAGATTTGTTAGTGCAAATCCAAGTATTTTCATCATTCCTCACTTTTTCCGAAGTTTGATGAGATCGGTTCATATACCTGCCATTTCCCTGGGTTATGAGCAGCTGCCAGAAACCCCTCTGGCTGCTGCCAGTCTGGCTTAGTCTTAGTCTTTGCAGGAGTGGCTCCAAGACAAGAGAGTGCAGTCCATCCAGATACAGCATTCGATCTCCTATAGTCAGAGCAAGGAATCATATTTCCCTCACCCCTGCCCTCTGGGAAAAAAGGCAAATGCTTCATGAAGGTACCATTATAAGTCTGCTAGAGTTGTCTTTGCAGCCTCTTTCTCCTCCCCAAAATGGAATGTGCCTAAGCTCCTTCTGGTCTGTTTATTCCTTTTTTCTAGCAGCCCTTGGGGAAGGGCTTTTCTAAAATCTTTTCATAAACATTATTTATGGACTCAGAATGCCAGAAACATGTCTCTACAAATAGTCTGCACAACATGTCCTGAACCCTCCTACTGGTACCTACTTATGTCAGTCTCCAGTGCTCATATTTCATTGTCTTTTTGCTGTAAGCCAGATTTACTGATGTGGGGTTGTTTCCACATGAGCACTGCTACAGTGACTGATAAGCTGCACTCGTACGACTTGCCCAGCAGTGTCCCAGTTGTTTGTGGCTCCTGGTTATTCCTGCTTAGGTCCTAGGGCCAATGTTTAGTGTTTCTGGAAGAAACAGAGGTCAGGTGCTAGCCCTGCAATGTCTGTGTTACATTGACACCACCCTAGGATGCACCAGAGAGGGTGAACTCCCTTGATCTATAGTGCACCACCTCTTACCCAGCACCAGCAATGTCTGTATTATTTAGATGTACGTGGGTGTTCTCCCACATACCCAGCACTAGGGTTAAAGAACAGGTTTGTACCAGAGAACCAGCTGTATGTACACTTTCCCTCAAAATCACTTAAAACCTTTCATCTGGAGGAAAATAACTGGCTTTGTTAGTATTTCTGCCCATTCGGGATCAAAACTACAGCATAAAATCTTCTGAAAGAAGCTTAGTGGGTTTTGCCTCCTCTCTTACCTAAAAGGAAGAGGAGAAGGCTGCTCTTTCACACTTTTATAGTGTTTCCCATTCTGGAATTCTTTATAAGTGACGTAGATCTTGGTCTCAATATAACAGTATTAAAGGAAATACCTCACTTCCAGTCAAGAGTTTAAGACAAAATGGAAAACAGTGTGTTCAACTGCAACCATAGGGCAGGAACTGATCTGAGCAAGAATTTTGTCTGGGTGCAAACATGAACTACTCTGTTATTCAGTGAATACTTCGTGACTCTTAATGACTGTAGTTGCATAAAAACGGCAGTTTTGCATTTAAACCCAAGTGCAGTATCTCACCAGCATAGGTCTTGTAGTTTATCCTGTGTTGTTTCTGTATTTGGTTGGTGCTGTAATAATTTCTGTGACTTGGGGGTAAAAAACTAGGCCACCACTTACCATGGCTTGTCTTCTGCTCATCCCTTATGCTGAATCATTCATTCTTGGGCTGTACATCCTGAGTGGATCACAGCAGAAGCTTTCATCACCAGCAGACTCTAGAGGTGCAAAAGATTTATAGTGAAATCCTGAGAATTTTGACAGAAATTTGGTGAGGAAAGAATATACTCTGATGGGGCAAAATCCTCGGTGGGTTCACTGAGGCTGGGATTCCACTCACTTACCCTTAACAGGTCATCTCAGTCCCTCTCCAAGGCTTCACTGACAAGTACTCATGAAACACTGTACTTCTTGGTTTGTCTTCAAGGTAGGTTCTGTTTTCTAGACCAGTGTTTTCTGAATGCTGGTAGAAAGGAGGTGACTTGCTGATTTCAGACAAGATGCCAAAGCATGCAGAGGAGTCTCTACTGTAAACAATGTCTTGGAATTCATTTTTAAAGGAAAAAGGGATATGGGGAGGAAAAACAAAATACTTAGAGATGCTGACTTGCTATCTACAGTCATCCTCCCTTGCTGGTGATTAATCATCTCCCCCTTTGAGCCCAACGGACCAGATACACACATTCCTCATTTTCTCTGTTGATGGAAAAATTTGATTTTTGGCATGCCTTTTGTGAGATCCAAAATACCTTTGTGCTGTGGTGAGTATGAGGGAAGGGAGTTTCACTTCTCAGTAGATATGCTAAAAGCATTTATTAAGGGCTGGGCTCTCCTCCCCACCAAGGTTGCAGGGAACCATTTGTGGCTGCCTGATCCCACATCTCTGACACATGCTAGACTTACCAGGCTGGAGACTCTGTGTCTGTGTATGCTGTTGCTGAAGATCAACATTCTCTTGCATAGTGGAAGCTGCTTATGAGTCAGCAAAAAACTAAGCATGGAGGAATCAGAAGGAATGGTATTTTAAGTGAGATAATAACTTTACTGTCTGTGTGCTGTGAACTAAGTGAATTTTGATTCTATATTGCAAAACGCAAATCACATTAGGACAATTGCAGGCAACCCTTGTACCAAGTAGACTCCCCTGGAGACAATCTAAGCTTATTAATGGTGTTGACTCTCCCTGAGGAAAAAAAAAAATTGTTAATGGCACTGACAGATCCCTCACCACTATGGCTGTGGTTCTAGAAACCTTTGAGAAGGCAATGTGAATGTGAATCTGGCCCTCCTGTTTGCTAGGGTTGAACCATGGGTTTGCTACTTGTACAGCATTTCCTGATATTTGTAATGATGATGAAATAAGTAAAAAACATTAGCTGGTGATAAATACTGTAGCTAGCCCAGTTCTGAAGGAGTTACCAAAGGCAAGACTGTCTCATGCAAACCAGCTGTCATTGGATCCAGCTGAATCCCTGCAATAAAAACCCACAAAGGAGCTGATTTATTACCCATGAGCAGCTTTGTTAACATTGTGGTGCTCTGATCGTTCTCATATCATCACTACTACGTTTGCCTGTGCATATATATCTCCCCACTCTGTGTTCTCAACCTGTAGTGAGACTTCAACATACATGTTTGGTATACACTGAGCTCACAGATGTTTGTGCTCTTCCTTTGCCTGCCAGCAAAAATTTCACAAGGAGTGTTTTTTTTCAGTGTGACTTAGAGGGCCTTGTCTCATGTGACACTCAAAAATGTAATCATTCCTGGTTAGAGCTGACTCTGTGGGGAGAAGCAGGGAGTTGGCATGTTCAAACCGAGGTGAGGACTCCCTGAGTTCACACCTCTGTGGGTTGCTGTGCAGCACATGCAAGGCTGCAGCCTGTGATCAGCTTTTCCAGATCCCTTAGTTGGTGTGACCCACAGCCAGTGGGTCACACGCTGCAGTTGGTGGGATGTTAGGTTCTCCAGGCTTCACTGGCAAATTGGCAAGAGTGATGGGCAAATAGCAAACTAAAGCACAGAAGAATTTCTGGCTTCTTCCCTCTCTGCCTGAGCTGTAACATTTTAATTTCTTGCAGCCACAAGCAAAGAGGTGGTTTATGTACCAGGCAGGAGCTTTGTGCAAGGTTAGGTGCCTTCCAGGGTTTGGTTCCACCTTACCTTCCTGGGGTGCCTTGAAATGGAGTTGTAAGCTCTGATTCTAGTGTGCATACATGTCAAGGGAGAGCAGAATGTAATTTCAAAGCAGAAGGTATTAGGTCTCATTGTGCATGAATTTGGTGCCTGTGTGGATGCACAGCCATAAACCATTGCAAAGAGTCAAACAATTACAGGCAGAGAAACTAGAAGGAGATTTTGTGACAGTTACTCAGATGTAAGGCAGGGAACACATTGCTGACAGAAATTATGCTTGAAAGATTTGGACTAGGTGATGAGCTGGATAACACTATCATTTCCCAGATGTTGTATTGTCAGTTACAAGCAGAGATGCTGAAACATCCAGACCTGGTCATGGTGAGAAAACACAAGCAATCTTTCATGTAATGTATTTATAAAAGTTGTGTATTCAAACACCAGTTTAAGAGCTAGCTGAAACTGTCAGACTTATATGGTAATTATTTTGTCACTTGGAGGATTTTTAAAGGAAGGATCCTGTCCCTAAAGAGAACAGATTACCTGCTGAAGTGTAACATCCCACTATCAGTCTTTTTCCCTGACAACCCTAATCTTGCTCTGTCTGTTCTGGGCTGCATGCTGCAGCAGGAGCTAGAAACGTGAGAGCTGTATGCTAGAAATCTTTGGGATGTTGATGAAAAGAATGGTGGGTGGTATTATTTAGATGTCCTTGTAAACAAACAAATAAAAGCTGGATGGATACAGAGGTTTCTGCCTCTCTCTCCATACTCCACCCTTTGCCTGGCAGTTACGAGGATATCAGGTTTCTCAAAAGGTCAGGTTGGAAATCAGTGTCAGGAGTTTCTTCACATGTGATTCGGCTCCTGGTGACAGGGACATAGCAAATTTGGAGGAAGGCTGCCCCACCACAGTGTGATATTCATGTCATTTGGTGGATGCTTAAGTCCAGCTGTCAGCAAATGCCCATCCCGCAGCTCTGCCTGCCGGCTCAGAGAACTGTATTGCCTACTAACACAGAGGGGCTGGCACACAAACACACTCCGCTGATCAATACATCGCGTGTATTTCAGGTGTGCAAGCTGCAAAATCAAGCTTGCAGACAACAGCACTTTCTTGGAGACTGTGCAGCCATCTAGTGTTACTGCATATACAGCATGCTAGTTACTTGCCAATACCCCAGACACTTCCCTACTTTTTTCCTACATATCTCCCAGCTTGATGTGTAATTTTTAGTTACAGGAGTTTTAGTTAAACTTGCCAATCCACTGGACTTGATCCCTGAACTTTCTGACCACCTGAAGATTGTGCTCGTGGATGGAGAACAGAATCCTGCTGTAGTATTTCTTTTACTCATAAAAATGTTTGTTTATACGAAGAAGAGCAATCAGTCTCCTTGGCTTCTACTACTGTGTTTTAGCAGTCTTTAATTCCTCAAGAAACAAATAACAACGAGGGAAAAAAAAAAAACATTAAAATTTGAACATCAGTGAGCAAATGCCAGGGATCTACTGCTATCTGCTGGAGTGTTTTTGAGAACTTTCTCATTTTATCAGAAGTAGGAAAGCTTTGTATACACATCATGAGGGAATAAAACAAGGACAAAATAGCCTGAATTTGTGTGTCTCACTTTTCTCATCTAAAGAAAACCATCTTGTTTCAAAGTCCCAGCTTCCTCTTTGGTCATCCAGCAGACAAGGAAATTAGTACAAGGAACTACTTTTATAGTTTGTAGTAAATTAATTAAGTAATCTGCAGGCAAGGAGCATGATGAAATGACACACATTCTTGTACTGCATACCAGAATGACAAGTAAAATTCAAAGGTGACAACCCAGGGTTACTGTGATTTAGCAGCAGCCACTTGACCAACCTGAGAACAGAAACGTCTTTGTTTACAATCTGCATTTTTCTAACTCTTATCTGCTCTCTTGCATTGTAACTTCCCCCAGCCCTCTCTGTGCCACTAAGTTCATCTTTCTCTGCACTTTGCATTAGACTATAGAAGCGTCCAGGTGTGTTATGAGGGACTTCCATCTTCTGAAACAAAAGCTGATGGACTTTCTGCACTGGAGTAATAAGCACTGATTAATGAGGTAAATAAATTGCTTCTGGAAGTTCTGGAAGCTACATGTTACAACTTCTTTGCTTGGGCAAAGCAGTAAATGAAGATTTATGCCATGGAGACACATAAATTTTTGGATCATTCTACACTTGTGGAAGGTGCTCTCAGTTCTACCCATTTAATATATTTTGCTGGAGAAATAGCCCTATTTCAGATTCCTAAGAATCTACCCCATGAACAATTTACTCAAAGACTGCCTTATTCCACTTGTTACCTTAGGCTTTTAATATCAAATACTGATGTCTCAGTCTTGAGAGAAGTTGCAGAGGAGCAGTGACAAGCAGCACATACTCATTCCACAGTAGTAGAGTCTGGTGGATCTGAAGGAGGATGTTTGTTGACATCACCTTACTCACTGTGCTAAGCCAGGCTAATTGCCCTTGTCTGCAAGACTGGACATGAATCTTTTGCATACTCCCCTTCTATGTGTCTGTCTATCTGTGGTATGTTTAAAACAGACAATGGTATGTGTCCAACAGGTTTCAACCACAACTGATTGATCTGGTAGCATTTCTCTGAAATGTTTTTTTAAAAGGCGTATTTTACAAAGCTTTCACTGCATCGTGTTTTGCGGGTGTTGGATATAACACTGTCACCAAAGAACTGGCTATTTACCTTTCAATCATTTTTTTTCCTGATGACTTTTAATAATAAACAGGGAAAATAATATTCTAGACCTAAATTACAGCTAGTTGAACACAGAAACACACTGCACACAGAGGCAAATAAGAGCTCACAGAGCCCCTCTCCTGCTGCAGGGCACAGTGGGGGGTTCCGTGGGACATGGATGTGGATGCAGGCACGGAAGCTGGGACGGGAGGGAGGATGAGAGTCCCTGCACAGCAGCACAGCCTCTCTCCGCAAGAATGAATGGCAATCGTGATGCTGAGCCACCCACAGGGAGCCACAATGCCACTAGCCACAGGCAAATCCCTTCCCATCCCCA